TTATTCACATGCTTAAACTATAGTTCTGAACATGATTTCAAGATCACCAGGCATAACTCGCAAGTGCAGTGATTCAAAAAGTGGCATTTACAATGAAAAGTTGCAGAGTCCAGGGCATTTTCACATATTGTGACTTGGATTTTGAAGGTAAAATTTGACTTGGAAATGTTGGAACTCATCTCAGAGACTGTCCAGTATTGACTGTTGCTGCACTCCGGCTGCCCAATGTGGTCAAACATGGGCTACAACTGAAAAGTCATTGGATGTCTAACACTGGCAGGGAGCTGGAAATCTTCTGGTAAATATAATTGCACACCAAGAGACAGCTCAGACAAATATTCACATTCAGTACTAGAAAAGGAGATGTTCGGAGGCGAATTTTTTCCTACAGTAGATAAGTGGATTCTATTTAGTCAACTGTATAGAATTCAGCTCAACATCAAAAAAACAAAGATCATGGCCACTGGTCCCATCACCTCCTGGCAAATAGAAGGAGAATAAATGGAGGCAGTGAGAGATTTTACTTTCTTGGGCTCCATGATCACTGCAGATGGTGACAGCAGCCATGAAATTAAAAGACGCCTGCTTCTTGGGAGAAAAGCAATGACAAACCTAGACAGCATCTTAAAAGCAGAGACATCACCTTGCCAACAAAGGTCCATATAGTTAAAGCTATGGTTTTCCCAGTAGTGATGTATGGAAGTGAGAGCTGGACCATAAAGAAGGCTGATGGCCGAAGAATTGATGCTTTTGAATTATGGTGCTGGAGGAGACTCTTGAGAGTCCCATGGGCTGCAAGAAGATCAACCTATCCATTCTTAAGGAAATCAGTCCTGAGAGCTCACTGGAAGGACAGATCCTGAAGCTGAGACTCCAATACTTGGGTCACCTCATGAGAAGAGAAGACTCCCTGGAAAAGACCCTGATGTTGGGAAAGATGGAGGGTACGAGGAGAAGGGGACGACAGAGGATGAGATGGTTGGATAGTGTTCTCGAAGCTACCAGCATGAGTTTGACTAAACTGTGGGAGGCAGTGGAAGACAGGAGTGCCTGGCGTGCTCTGGTCCATGGGGTCATGAAGAGTCAGACACGACTAAACGACTAAACAACAACAACAACACAATAGAATTCACTACCACAATATTACTCTAAGAAAAAATTAGACAGATTCATGGAGGATAGCTAAATGGAATATCGAAAGCAGCACACCTTTGAATGTCAGATGGATCCAGCATAGTAATAGCTATCCAATTTCTTCAAGTGCCCGTACATATGTAGCCAAACAGTACTCTCTCCATACAAGAGTGAGGCATTAGCAGGCTCATGGAAACCCTGAGGTTTGTAGAAATGCAACAAATCTTTAGAAAACAAACGTGAAGCGGGTGGAACCTAGACAAAAAAAAGATGGATCCCAATGAGTGGTTACAGAATACTAGTTGACCGTAGGGGCATGGACAGAAAACCTGGCCAGAGGGGAATAGACTGAAGCAGCCTGGAGGAAGGCATGGCTGACTTGGGAAAGTTCTTGGAGAGCCCTCCATACTAGGGATAGGAGAAAATAAAATAAGTTAATCTGAATATTTCAAAATACCTGCTTCTAACTGTTTATATTGAGAATTTTAATATTTTATATTTTTGTAATTCTTACAGTCAAGCATTACAGCGGTACCTCAGTTTTCGAACACCTCCATTGGTGAACATTTCGGTTTTCAAACGCCATAAAACCTGAGGTAAATGCTTCAGTTTTCAAACACTTTTTGGAAATCAAGCATTCCACACAGCTTCTGTATCGAGTTTTCCGGAAGTAAATGCTTCAGTTTCAGAACTCGAACAGTCTTCTGGAAGAGATTACGTTTGAAAACCAAGATACCACTGTATATACCATACTTTTTCATGTATTGGACGAGGGGATTTTTTACTAAAAAATAAGGTTAAAAATTTGTGCTTGTCTTATACATGGATAGTGCATAGGTGGGACGTGTGTTTGGCTGCTGCCGCAAGCCGGAGATTGTCAGTGGATATAGGGCGTGCTATTGGATGGCTGCGGCAAGGGTTGTTGTTGATTGGCTACTGCAGTGTGAACTGGGAGGGCAATTGGCAGCTTGTGCCAGCGAGGGGACAGGTGGTAAGCGGGTATTGCGACATATGCAAATGGCTGAGCGATTTCTGCAATTCCCCTCCAAAAAAAGCTCAACAACTCTGGGCAATCTCCCCCCATTTTATTAATTTGTAGTCCCCAAAAATAGGGGGCATCATATACATGGGGGCATGTTATACACAAAAAAATATGGTACATTTTGTTAATTAAAATTAAATTAAAATTAATGAAATAAATTCAGTTCAGTTCAGCCCACGTGCCTATGGGAAGCCATGAAGCAGGACATGAATGCAGTATGTTCTCCCCACCTGTGATTCCCAGCCACTGGTATTGTGAATGGGGCTCTAGTCTAGCATCCTGGTTGGCCACCACGGGGGAGGGGCAGTGCGCTTCCCCCCCCCAAAAAAAAATAGTTTAGGGATACAGTTGATGCTCGGGTTGGGAACATGATCCATGCGGGAAGCATGTTCGCAACCCGCATCGGCACATGTGCACACATGCGGGTCGCGATTTAGCGCTTCTGCACATGCGCAAACGCCGAAACCCGGAAGTAACCAGTTCCAGTACTTTGGGGTTCAGTGCGGTGCACAACCCAAAATCACACAACCCGAAGCGTCTGTAACCTGAGGTATGACTGTACTTTCATTTTTCTACTCATATTGAAATATTGCCCCTCAATGAGGCCAAACTTAGATTCACTAAATGTTTAGGGGTATGCATACCCCTGCGTCCCCCCAGGAAAAAGCACTGGGGGTGGGGATAATGGTGAGCTAGATAGACCCTTGGTCTGCACTAGACGTTTTGAGGCTTGCCTCCACGCACATGCTTGATGTGGCAACTCTGCAAAATTGGTGCCAGGCAAAGGAGTCTGCTTGCTTGTGAATGGTTGACTCAGTATTCCCAGACCTGCCATTGCCTGCCAGGGTGGCTTCATGCTGGCCTGTTTATTTCCAGCTTTAACAATGTGCTTTTAAAAATATATTTTTATGAGTTGCGTTGCATTTCTTGGTAAAGCACTTTAATCCATTTTAATGCCTCCATCCTTCTCCTCGGTGGCAACGCCGTGGTTAGTCTAATGCATCCCACTCACCTCAGGGTTACTAATGAGGTCACACAGAACACAATCTCCAAACTGAATAATTCACTAATCAGATGCTGCAGACTCCAGTGGTAAAATTTATTTCTGACACCTAAACAGCAAATGGGTTTGTGGAAACACACACAAACACTCACAGGCACTCTCTCCATCTCTCACAGAGATGATTTGTGCTGGATTGATGGAACTCCATTTGGCTAAACAAAGGTGTTCGCTCATTTCTCCACGAACAAATTTCTAGGCCAGGGCTAGGTTAAAAGACTCAGAGAACCAGCTTGAACCCCAAACAACGCTGGCCCATTCACTATTTTCAGCTGCCTACCATGATCCTGCCTATGGTATGCATGAGGTGGTCTCCTATGGTCAGGCTTTTGAAGAACTTCAAGGCCTCAGATAGAGGCCTAAGGCCTAGAGTTCCTAACATGTATATTATTATTAGTATTAGTATTAGTATTATTCGCCACCCATCTAGCTGGGTTTCTCCAGCCACTCTGGGCGGCTCCCAACAGAATATTAAAAGCACAATAAAATGTCAAACAGAAGAAGAAGAAGAGGAAGAAGAAGAAGAGGAAGAAGAAGAAGAGGAAGAAGAAGAAGAGTTTGGGCTTGATATCCCGCCTTTCACTCCCCTTATGGAGTCTCAAAGCAGCTGGCAATCTCCTTTCCCTTCCTTCCCCACAACAAACACTCTGTGAGGTGAGTGAGGCTGAAAGACTTCAGAGAGGTGTGACTAGCCCAAGGTCACCCAGCAGCTGCATGTGGAGGAGCTGGAAAGCGAACCCTGTTCACCAGATTACGAGTCCTCCACTCTTAACCACTACACCATGCTGGCTCTCATTAAAAATTTCCCTAAACAGGGCTGCCTTCAGATGTCTTCTAAAAGTCAGATAGTTGTTTATTTCCTTGACATCTGATGGGAGGGCGTTCCACACGGTGGACGCCACTACCGAGAAGGCCCTCTGCCTTGTTCCCTGTAACCTCACTTCTCACAGGCAGGGAACTGCCAGAAGGCTCAAAGGGACAAGTTGTCTGGCAGTCTTCATGGCCCCTGTCGTGTGTACACTCTTCCCACTAATGAAGTCCTAGTAGGTCACCTTTTTTGATATCCTTTTTGAGATGAGGTGACCAAAACAATACACCATACCCTCCATCATTTCTCTGATGAAAATAGGGACGTCCCATTCCATAATGATAATTTTACTATTTATACTCCACACATCCTACTGGGTTGCCCGAGCCACTCTGGATGGCTTCAGACCTATATAAAAACATGATAAAACATTAAACATTAAAAAACTTCGCTATACAAGAATGCTTTCAAACAGCTTGGGGGTCAGATAATTCCATACCCTCCAACATTTCTCCACCAAAAATAGGAACATCCTAAGGAAAAGTGGGACATATCCAAAGTCCATTTCGGAGGCCTAATCCGGCCTGTCGGTCGATTTAATCCAGCCCCTGTGGCAGTATATGTCCTGGGGTAAAATCCTAAAAAACGCCCAACAACTTTGGCCGTCCCCCTTTGAAAAAAGTTTGGGCACCCCTGTCCTAAGGAAAAGTGGGACATTCCAGGATGAAATCAGAAACTGAGGTAGTAAATCAGGGACATCCCTGGAAAATAGGGACACGTGGAGGGTCTGGGTACACAGTATTCCAAGTGCAGTTGCGCCATAGATTTTTATTATGGCATTATGATATAAATGTTTTTATTTTCAATTCCTTTCCTAATGATGTCTAGTATGGAATTTGCCTTTTTCACAGCAGTTCTCCAGGGCCTTGAAACAGAAAAGGGTCTTTTCCCTTCACCTGTTATCTGTTCTCCTGTTCACTGAAGAGTACTAGGACAGAACCTTCTGCATTCAAACAGCCCCAAGTCATGAACATTTCCTCATAATCCCAAACTCTCCTGAGACAATTTGCTTTCAGGAAGGCAGAGAGGGTACCATGAAGCATTGTAAGAATTTTTTTTATCCCACTTTTCAGGTGAAAAGGCTTCCTGAACAGCTTAGAGATCCCTAAAATACAGGAGAGTCCTTCCCCTCCGGCATATAACCTAAAAGACACAACACAAAAGGAAAAAGGATGAAGAAAGAAGAGGAAAGAACAAGGCCCATGATCCCCAGCAATTGCCACTAATTTTTTTTAATGTATTTTTATTAAAGATTTTCTTAGTTTACAAAAGTATGTGCAATGTCTCTCTCTCTTTTTCTCTCTCCAAGTAACATTTTTTACAGATCAGTTTCATTTGTTGAGACATTAAGAAGAAGAAGGGGATGGCTCCCCTTTATCACATACACAGCTGAACAAGACAATGACAAAAATCCACCAACAGCATACAAATCAATCTGGCTAGCCTGATACAAAACACCCACCCCACTCACACATGAAAACAAAGATCACCACAGCCAATCACAAATAAAGAAGCATACCTTGGCCAACCCCAACCTCTCTCACCACCAAAGGAACACAAGCACAGAACCTGCACAAGTGATGCTGACACAAAACCCCACATATATTAAGTGCAATTGCCACTAATTGTGGGACGTCTCTTAGCTTGCTCATGCTGCCCTTTGCTGCCTGTTAGCCTGCCCTTGGGACGCGGGTGGAGCTGTGGTTTAACCACAGAACCTAGGAGTTGCTGATCAGAAGGTTGGCGGTTCAAATCCCCGCGAGGGGGTGAGCTCCCGTTGCTCGGTCCCTGCTCCTGCCAACCTAGCAGTTCAAAAGCACGTCAAAGTGCAAGTAGATAAATAGGTACCATTCTGGCGGGAAGGTAAACAGTGTTTCCGTGCACTGCTCTGGTTCGCCAGAGGTCATGCTGGCCACATGACCCGGAAGCTGTACGCCGGCTCCCTTGGCCAATAAAGCAAGATGAGCACCGCAACCCCAGAGTCGGTCACAACTGGACCTAATGGTCAGGGGTGCCTTTACCTTTAGCCTGCCCTTCTACAGGGTAGGATGACTTCTTCCCTTGGGAAAGAGATCAGGATTGGCAGGGAGGGTGGAAGAACAGCAGGTGGAGATTGGTTTGGAAAGGGGAGAACTTAGATGCTCAAAATGTCCAAGTGCAACGCTTCAAAACAAAACCCCCGAGGCTTTCTGAGTGCTCAGCTTGAATACCTGAGCAGCCCAGGTGTGTCTGTGCCTACCCCTGAGTAATAATGCAAACAGGTTTTAAACACGGGGAGAATTTTGAGAAGAATAATGGGAAGGGATGTATCTCAGCTAAAAGCGGTTAATCTAAAATGAATGTGCCATTGACTAACTAGGGAAGAGTACACTGAATTAAAGATGCCCCACCCTGTTGAGGTTTTGTTTTTCTAATCGCTGCATTTTGGAGAATAAAGCTCCCCCCCCCTTTGGGCTGGCTCCTCTCATCATGCTCTTCCATTCATCGCCACCACTTTGTTTGGCTTTATTAGTATCCATTCATGCCTCTTGCTTGTTTCAAACCTTTCCCCAGCATTGTTGGGATACTCTAATGAGCACCCTGGAGAAAGGGAACAGTACACACATCTAATTAATTAGCAGCGTTACCATCACTCTAAAGCCCTTCAGTGACATTCCCAATAATAACAACAGCAATAACGACTTGTATTCTTGGTTTGGAGTGAGGAGAAGAGTGTGTTGTGGGGGGGGGGGGGGAGCACAACTGTCGCTAGCGTTGGGAAAACTTTATGTCTCCAGCGCGTGCCACTAATGCTGAAAGCAGGTGCTCGTGGCAGAAACCATGTCTGCTAAATCTTCCCTGTGCTGTTACATGATGTCGCTCATTTGGCTCGAATGTCAGGATTCCAAAAAGGGCTTGTCACATGCTAACGCTCGAGCTGTACCATTTCAGAGTGCAGGTAGGGAAATTGCATGGTGGAATGCTCCCCTATTTAAGGATGGAGACTAACACAACCTGATCCATTATCAGGCCTCCTAATGTACGTCAAGAAGAAAGTACATCTCAGAGACAAATCAGATGGCAGCTGACAGGTTTCAGAGACAGTCAAAATCTTCAGCATTTGTGGAATGGCTTGATAAAGTATGGGATTGTTTTTCTATGGTAAAATTGAATTAATGAACCGTAGGCATGTGAAAGGGGGAGAGAGAGACTTTTTGAGTTTTCAAGGTCTTTCGGTATGAATGGATTGTTGAATTCTGGAGTAGGGAACATGCCACCCTCCAGGTGCTGTTAAACTCCAATACCCATCAGCCCCAGCAAGCTTGACAATTGGTCAGGGATTATGGGAGTTGTAGTCCAGCAACATCTGGATGGTTACAAGTCCCCCTTCCCTCCATTACTCCACATAGGAAAATAGACACCAGGGAGATGGGTGCTACCTTGTCTTCTCCCTGGCATGCTAGCTTTCTATGTGGAGAGAGCTAGGACCTTTTTTTTCCACATGTGAGGACACAGAATATTGAAATCCTCAGCCTGTAGTTTGCGGAGGTGGTTGAGAAATTTGGTTTGTCATCTGTACTTGGAGTAATGTGTGGATCAGGAAGTAATTATCCTTCAAGTACCACACCTTTCTGATTTGTGTGCTTCAATTTTTGGCACAGCAAAGGAACCCAAAAGCAGCTTGCAAATGTGTATTTTAGGAGAAAATATGTTTAGAAATGCGTCCATTTGAATATGCATTTTGTGATAAACAAATTTAAATGCCAATTCTGTGTAGCTTTTAAAAAAGAAGAAATTGATGCTCTAACATGAATGGACAAGTGCAAAAGTGATATTAGGAATGGTGGGAGCGGGGATTTGATTCAGTTCACATTGAAAGGTAAATCTAGCTTATTCACACTTTCCAAAGCAATATGCAAACTGGAGCACAGCCTTCCTTCAAAACTTGAATTCTTTGCATTTTGCAGCACAGTTCTCAGCCAAGTAATACCCATCATGTACTAGTTTCTGGAAGCCACAGCATGGTAGCAGCTGAGTGACACACCCACTTTCATGGTTTTCAATGTTCAGTTTGAAATCAGGTCATTTGCAGTGTCAAAAGCCCAGTATGTGAGATCGTGGGACTTTAAGTGCAGAAAGAGAGCACATTTCAGTGAATGATATAATCTCTGATGGAAGATGTTTATAATCCCTTAGAGATCCAGTCCGTTGTATGGGCCGAAACATGGCGAGGCAGAGCAAAATGTGACCGAGATGCAATATGAGCAGGGAACAAATCCCTTTGCTGCTGCATCAGTGCATTCCACAGCTGAGGCCATTTGCATTGTGGCTCTCTGTAGTATATTACCCCAACCGCTGGTGGGAGGAAGCTGTAAATCCAGCATGAGATGAGGTTTAAAAGGGGTCTCGATGGCAGGCCCAAAGGAACCTCTGATAAAATGACTTCCAAAAAGAAAAATGCATACAGAATAGGCAAGGCAGAGCAATATAAGCAAAGTCATCATTGCAGCCCTAGCTATAATACCACTTTAAGCATTCACACCTTCTCTCTAAAAATCTTGGGAACCATAGATTGTTAAGGATGCTGAGAGTTATTAGGAGATGCACAAACCCCACCACATTCCCCTCTCAGAGCTACAGTTCCCAGAGTGGTTTAGCAGTCAATCCCTCTTCCCAGGGAACTCTGGGAATTGCATCTCTGTGAGGTGAATGGGGTCTTTGATCAAACTGCGGGAGGCAGTGGAAGACAGAAGTGCCTGGCGTGCTCTGGTCCATGGGGTCACGAAGAGTCGGGCACGACTAAACAACAACAAAACAACTCTCTTAGCAAACTGCAGTTCACAGGGTTCTTTGAGCAAGAAAGCACAGCTGTTTAAAGCGATATAGAATCATAGAGTTGGAAGGGACCCTGAGGATCATCTAGTCCAACCCCCTGCAATGCAGGGATATGCAGCTCTCCCTTACAGGAATCAAACCTGCAACCTTGGTATTATCAGCACCACGCTCTAGCCAACTGAGCTATCCAGCTTTGCATGTATAGTGCAGATAGGGCCAGAGCCCCAATGTTTCCCAACAGTAATCTGTAATTAAAAAACAAGAAAACTAAAATATGTAACACTCCTGCAGACAGCGGCGTAGCGTGGGTTGTCAGCACCCAGGGCAAGGCAAGTAATTTGCGCCCCCTAACCCCTAACCTGCCGCCGCTGCCAGCTTCTTCTTGCTGCTGCCTGGGCTGGTCTGGTGTGGTTCTCTCCCACGCTCAGCGCTGCGCTGGGCGGCCGCTGCACTGTCCCTCCCCCAGATAGTCCCTCGCTCTCTCTCCGCACCGCACACCTGGCACCCACCCCCTCCACAGTGGGCGGCGACCCAGCGGCTCGGATCGGATTCGCACAGCCAGCACTGCAGTGAGAGAGAGTGAGTGAGCCAGGTAGGGGCAGAGAGCTGCGAGTGCGAGTGCCCCCCCCAGATGTTGCGCCCGGTGCGGCCGGCCCCCCCTGCACCCCCCACGCTACGCCACTGCCTGCAGAGATACTTTCCCACATTATATCTTAAATTTTTGTTGCATTTTAGATGCAGAAAGGACAGGTTTGGTTTGGTCTTTTCCATATACCTTTATAATCTGCATTCCATTTTCCCACCCTCAGTAAATCTGTGCACGCTGCTATCTAATTTGCCCTCCCATCTTTCTTTCTTTCTTTCTTTCTTTCTTTCTTTCTTTCTTTCTTTCTTTCTTTTCATTTACTTGGTCTTTTCTCTCAAGCTTCAACAGTTCCCACAGTATGCAATCCCCATCCCCCGACCACTTTCTCTTTCACTTTCTCTCCCCCCCCCCCCCTTGCTGAAAGAAGTATTTGCATTCGAAAGCCTGGGGTGTTTTTATGTCCCAGGACATCAATGGTGTGATTATTCCTAATCTGTTTGGCCAGTTGAGATTAGAATGAGATGCATGTCCTTATCTCCAGCCAAGAGTCTTGTGTGTATGCAGAGACAAAAACAGCATAAATATTTACATTTGCAGTGACTGAAAACCCTCATGTTTATACACTTAAGCAGATGGAATCTGGAGGAATGGCTACATCTCAGTGGCAGAGCATTTGTTTTACATGCAGAAGACCCTGGGTTCAATCCCTGGCATCTCCAGATAGGACCGGGAGTGTCCCTTGCCAGACAGTGTAGATGAGCACTTAGCTGGATGGACCTGTGGTCCAACTTGATAGAAGGTAGCTCTCGTGTTCCTATAATCTGTATAATTTGTTGTCCGAGACAAGCCACCCCACTCTGTCTAATGGTAGGGCCGGCCCTGGATAACTGTTGGTGGTCTGATTTGTAGATAGGAAGAGGGTAGGCCGGCTAACCCTGCAAAACCAACTTGGCCTATGCAGGAGGATCAAGCTACTTAAACTGTGGACCCTAGATGCGGTTGTTAATGATATAGGCCAATATGGAACTGCAGTTCCCCTCCCTGGGCAAAGCTAATACTGAGGTGCTCCTCAAAGAAGGACAGCTGGCAAGCTACCATAATGATAGAGCAGGGATGGAGAAACTGTGTCCTCCTCACCCCAGATGTTGAATTACTGTTTCCATTGTCTTTGATCATTGGCCACACTGGCTGTGGTTTATGGGAGTTGGAGTCCAATATCTAGAAGACTACAGGCATTCAACTGTAGCCTAGGAAAAAGGGTAGATGAGGTCTAGTGCTAGAATGCCCCTTTCAAGACCCTGGCCCTTTGCATGCAGGAACAGCCACCCCCATCATAAGCAAGCTAAGCCATTATAGAAGAACACTTCAGACAGAGTGAGTGAGCTCAAAGGGGGAAAAGCCTGTGTACGTGAGGTCCATTGGTTACCTCTGGATTAATGCTTGTGCATGCCAACATCCTTACCCAACCGCCAGGTGAGATTATGTGATAAATGATTGCATTAGCCGAGACAGCTTCTCATTTCCCTCCAATCTGGCCTGTCTGCCCTTTTAGCATGGAACTCCTGATAGCATTTCTTCCTTCACCAACTTCATTTTTCCTGCTCACTTGTCAAGCTGTCAGCGTGAAGAAAAAGAGGAGCCATCGACAAGGCACTTACTGTTTCAACTGTGTTTCAAGTGCCTCATGTGCACACACAGATGTATGCGCACGCACCCCAGGCATCTCTGAACAAGACTTCCTGCTTCCACAGGCTCCCTTTGTCAAAAGGGGCTTCTGTGGACACCCCCACCTTAAGTGATGTGGAAACTGTGGCCCTCCAGATGTTGATAGATTCCAACCCCTATCACCCTTGACCATTGGTCATCCTGGCTAGGGCTGTAGCCCAACAACCTCTAGAGCAGGCTTGAGGAACCTGACCCTTCAGAAGTTGCTGGATTCCAACCAACCCCCATCACCCCAGACCATTTGCCATGCTGGATGGGGCTGATGGAAGTAGGAACCCCACAACTTTTAGAGGACTGCAAGTTCCATATCCCTGCCCCACTGTCTATCATTTCCTTTGCCCAGATGCTGCCTTGTGCCTAGATGGATTCCAATTCCAGTCTGAAAGCCTGCTCCTGTTCCAGAAGATGAAGCTCTCTCCATCAACAGGTCAAATTTGGATACTGCAATCTTAAGAATCCAAACCTATGAATTAAGAGCGTTAGAGACTGTCTTGCTGGATTAGATCATGGTTCACTATCTTAGCATCTTAAATAACAACAACAACAACAACAACAACAACAACAACAACAACAACAATACAGTGGTATCTCGGGTTACAGATGCTTCAGGTTACAGACGCTTCAGGTTACAGACTCTGCTAACCCAGAAATAGTACCTCAGGTTAAGAACTTTGCTTCAGGATGAGAACAGAAATCGTGCGGTGGTGGCGGTGGTTTCCAGAAAAAGAATAAAAAACATTTAGAAAAAGAATAAAGGCAATATTCCCTTTAGGGAGAGGACAACCTGGGAAACCAATGATGAAGGGGAATTCACACTTGAAACACCTTATCCAATTGCAAGAAATTCTTCCAGGCTGCACTTCCCGAGAGCCAGTGTGGTGTAGTGGTTAAGAGCGGTAGTCTCGTAATCTGGGGAACCGGGTTTGCATCTCCACTTCTCCACATGCAGCTGCTGGGTGACCTTGGGCCAGTCACACTTCTTTGAGGTCTCTCAGCCCCACTCACCTCACAGAGTGTTTGTTGTGGGGGAGGAAGGGAAAGGAGAATGTTAGCCGCTTTGAGACTCCTGAAGGGGAGTGAAAGACGGGATATCAAATCCAAACTCTTCTTCTTCTTCTTCTTCTTCTTCTTCTTCTTCTTCTTCTTCTCCTCCTCCTCCTCCTCCTCCTCCTCCTCCTCCTCCTCCTCCTCCTCCTCCTCCTCCTCCTCCATACTTATTGCACTCCTCCCATCTTCAGTGCAGTTGTGATTGACAAGCTCATATGTTTATCTCCCAAATGCATACACAAGGATAGAAAGTTCAGCCTTCACTTGACTGATAATTTGCTCAAAGGAGAAGAACCAGCAGCTTTATAGGACCAGGTGGGACCCTATTGTTGCTTTGCATAATTTGATCCCTGCTAGATAGGCAGCTGCAGTACTATCTTCTGATCTTCTGCAACAGAGGCACCACGGGGCACCAGGCCAGTTACATCATGAGCTAACTTGGTGGCACAGAAAACAAGATACTTGCATCCAGCGACCAGTGGCCGCAATCTCTCCCAGCACTCTGCACTCCTTGGGAAACCACATATTGTTACAATGACCTTAACCCTTTTCCTTAAATGTTCACACTAGCTTCCCAGCACAAACCTCTTTCCACCACACTTCAGCTCTTTTAAAGCTGTTACATTGCTCAGGAGGTGAGGTGCGCCATTCCCACCACCAAGGCTATGCAGTGTAGATTCCCACTTACTCAGCAAGACCAAGGAGACGTCCAGTAGGTAAGGGCAGTGTCCAAGACAAAAGTGGAGCTGTCCAGCTAAGAAGCCACTGAAAATCAAGCAAGATGAGGTGTTGTGGCAGCAAACCATTAGGCTTCCTGGAGTATAAACAGGACTCTAAACATGTGTTGAGCCTGGCTTCTATCTCATGAGTGGAGCACATGAGTGACAGGCTTCATGATGCCAGATGGGCATTGGACCTTTGGTTCTGTTCTTTGAAACAGGGACGCAGGTGGCACTGAGGTCTAAACCACTGAGCCTCTTGGGCTTGCTGATTGGAAGGTCAGCGGTTTGAATCCCCACAATGGAGTGAGCTCCTGTTGCTCTGTCCCATCTCCTGCCAACCTAGCAGTTCGAAAGCATGCCAGTGCAAGTAGATAAATAGGTACCACTGTAGTGGGAAAGTAAACTGCATTTCCGTGTGCTCTGGTTTCCGTTGCAGTGTTCTGTTGTGCCAGAAGTGGTTTAGTCATGCTGGCCACATGACCCAGGAAGCTGTCTGTGGACAAACGCCAGCTCCTTCAGCCTGAAAGTGAGATGAGCACCACAACCCCATAGTTGCCTTTGACTGGACTTAACCGTTCAAGAGTCCTTTACCTTTTTTTACTCTGTTCTTTGAATAATCATATGGGCTCAATGGCAGCTCGGCCTCCTCCTCCAGTTCTGAGCAAGGGCCCTCGAGATCTTGCAAAGGAGGCTGGGATACCATATCCCCTGCAGACTCTGATCTCCTTACTCCATCTCATGGTCCCTTGACACACACTGCTCCCCCACAATATTTGGTTTGGGGAGCACCAGATCCTCTTTTGAAGAGTATTCCTCCAGCAAACACATGAGAAAGATTAGAACAATGTTCACACAGCATCACAATAAACGGTCACAGCTTCTAAGAGCTTCTCAAGCATTATAGCCTTTCCTTTTTCCAGTCATTATTCCATTCCCTCCACCTCCCGTCCCTGATGTGGGAAGTGAAGGGGGGAGGATAATTGTTTGGGCTAGAACAGGCACCCTTTGTTGAGATGACACCTGGCAGAGGAGGGGCATCCATTCAGCCCGCATCCCTAAATATCAATTCCTTCATGTGGTTAGGAGGGTTAACAACCATTTGTAATCACATTAGAGAAAAACGGTTTAATTCTAAAGAGGGCTGTTTTCTGGACTTGCTTCCCCTGACTGCATTACAATGAGAAGATCAAACAGAATCAGCTTCAATGGCGAGATTATAACCAAGGAAGAGAGAAATCGTTAGCTGGGAGAGCAAGGGGAAGACAGGTCTGTCCTCCTGCAACAACGGAAATCTTTGCAAATATAATTAACAGATGTCTGAATTAGAAAGCCAGATAGTCAAGCTCTGGAAAGGCAGGAGATAAAAGAAGAGACTGGAAGAAAGAACTAAGTGTTGTCCAGAATAGCCTTAAATATCACACAAGTCACGTATGCCCACATGCTCAAAAGGACATAAAAAGAGCCCTGCTGGATCAGGTTGATTACTCAACTAGTCCAACATCCTGTTCTCACGGTGGTCAGCCTGTAAGCAGGACCTGAGGACAAGAGTACTTGCTTCTCCTGCAGTTTCCAACAACTGCTATTCAGAAGCCTACTGCCTCCAACCACTGATAGCATTTACATGCATGAATTTGTCTAATTCTGTTTTAAAGCCATCTCCACATTATTCTTTGTTACTCAATGCTCTGTGATTACAGTTGAATCTGTGAACAGGTCCCATTGGAAAGTATTGTGCCTTGAGTTAGCAGTCAATGATATGAACCGGGGTAGCCAACATTGTGCCCTCCAGATGTTGTTTGATGCCAACTCCATCAGCCCTAGCCATCATGGCCAATGTGGAGTTGTAGTTCAACAGCAACTGGAGGAGATAAGAATATAGGAAAAGCCCATTTGGACCAGACCATCGAATCCAGCATCTTACAGTGGTCAACCACATGCCTCTGGGAAACCCACATTGAGGGCAGAAGCACAACAGACCTCTTCCCCACTCATGTTTCCTAGCAACTTGTGTTGAGAGGCAATCTGGAGCCAGATGGACAGATGGTCTAGTTCAACATTTCCTATGTCCAAAGACAGCCTTCCCCCTGGGAGTTGTTACATAGTCCATATGTAAGAGGTTCCCTGTTGGATCAGAGCCCGCTGAATCAGTCTAGCATTCTATTATTAAAAAAAGGTAAAGGGACCCCTGACCATTACAGGATGGTTAATCAGATACCAGTGGAAAGTCCACAGGCACAACACAAGCACTCTCTTTCCTACCAACCCCAGAAACTGGTATTCAGAGGCATATTGCTTCTGCTACTACAGATACCAAGTATATACAGTGGTACCTCAGGTTACAAACGCTTCGGGTTACAAACTCTGCTAACCCACAAGTAGTTGCTCTGGGTTGCGAACTTTGCCCCAGGATGAGAACGGAAATCGCGTGGTGCTGGTGCGGTGGCAGCGTGAGGCCCCATTGGCGAAAGCGCGCCTCAGGTTAAGAACGGTTTCGGGTTAAGAAAAGACCTACAGAACAAATTAAGTTCGTAACTCGAGGTATCACTGTATAGCAAATCTGTTTGCAATTGGTAGCTTTATCCTCCATTAACCCCCCTTTAAAGCTGGCCAAGCTGGTGGTCATTCTTGTGAAACCAAATTCCATAGTTTTAACGGTGTTCTGTGTCAATAAGTACTTCTTTTTGTCTGAGTCTCCCAATGTGTAGCTTTCCCAAAACCGTTTGATTTTCCTGCCACACTCAAAGAACAGATCTGCTCCACCAATGGCAGTCATCTCTCATGGCACTCCACCAATGGCAGTTATCTCTGTGACATCAGCACATTTCAGCCAATCACTCCCAGAGGCTTCATCGCCAGCACCATATGGGTCACAAGGACTTCTAAGCCTTCCTCACTCTGGCACTCCTTAGCCAATAATGGAGTGGTTTTCTTACAAGCAAAGACACCCCCGTGACTGTTACGGGAAGAGAGGCAAAGGAATGAAGGGAAGAAAGGGTCTCAAATCTCCTTGGGAACATGTTCTGGTAAGAAACCTCATAATTCCCAGTGCCCCATTTATTTTGGTTAATTAAACTGTCAAAAGGGGAAGGTATTTACCTGTCATTCACTGCAGGCGCTGATGAGGTGTCAGCCTGCTGATAGGTAGCTGTTCAATTACAGTAATTGCCTTTGTTTCTGTCCCAGGCTTCTGTTCATCGCCCACAGCTTTCCACACTGCCTCTCCTCTAACTCTTTCCTTGCTTGGTTGGGTTGACATCAGGCACATCAGGAAATGTGGCAATACTCTTGTGTCCTCATGCCATGACCTCAACCATATTGAGGTCATGAATGCACACCACTGCCTCCTATTTGCCTACTTCTACTGCCTCCCCCACTCCACCAGGTCAGATTCAGTCCCTGGGCAGCTGAGACTGGAGTAAGAACATAAGAAGAACCTGCTGGATCAGGCCAGTGGCCCACCTAGTCCAGCATCCTGCTCTCAAAGTGGCCAACCAGATGCCTTGATTCCAAACACACACCCCACCTTCAGTGGTCCCTTCTTCACCACCTCAGCTTGTCTCTCCAAACATCCCCAGACTCTGCTCTACAGTCATGGAGGAGTATGCATCTGCAGAAATGGCTATGGGCCCTTTAAATACTGCATTCAAGATTCCAGGTGTTATGGGCAGCGGCAGCAGCTGTTGACCACTGGGTGGGGCAGCCAAGGGGATCTCTGGAGATGGAGCTAAGGAGACCACAAGAGGCCATCGGACTACAACTTCCACCATACCTGCCCATTGGCCATGCTGTTTAGGGTTGAAGGGAATTGGAGTCCAACAACATCTGGAAGGTCACAAGTTAGACACTGCTGACCTAAATGATGTCAGGAAGAGATTCAGCCTATGCACTGTTGTTCAGTTCTAGCCAAGACTACTGGGAGAGCTACAAGGAAGTTGCTCAGGATGTAAGTCTGAGTATGTTAAGTGATGCTGATTGACTTCTACACAAGCTTAACAATCAAAGTGGTCAGGATACTCCCGAGGCTGTGGCAGGTTGACTCTGCCACCATCTTCCCTGCAAGAGCTGCAGAACTGACACCTGAATAAAGCTGGTGCAGGAACACTTTCACGGCACACAGAGTTCTGCCTCTTCTTATTTTTGTTCTTCTCACCCTAGTTGTGGAGCAAATGGGGATGATGTGAATTTTTAAAGGGTCCCCCCCTGCCTCCCGCTGCTGCCAAACTGTTGGAGCATCTCAGTCTTTTCCTGCAGAAGATTCAACAAAATGTCCTCCTCGGTTTTGCCATCTGTGAATGTTAGGTGCAGCCATGGACCCAGTTTTATTATTGTTTAATACTATTTTAATACTGTTTGAAGGAAACAAAGACACCCCCAGCTCTCCTATATTATCACACGGCTTCCTTCATCTACCAGTAGGAACTAATGACAGAGTTTTTATTGAACATCAAGTGAGCCAAAATGTCTCTGTAAAATAATTTTCTGGCCATGGAGGGGGGATGGTGTTAGTTCCTCCTGATTAATTACTGGAAAATCTCAATTGTCCCTTGGAGAAGGGTTGGCAAAATCCACCCCCTTTCCCACCTTCCCGCCCACAAATAACATGGAGAGTTTTAGAGGCCATTTTCTAAACGTCGTAGAACCAAGAGTTTGCATGGACTCAAGTTAAATGGAAGCCATTTCTGGCTGTTTAAAAAAGAATAATGAAGAATTTTTTCACTGCTTTGTTTTAAGTTTCTTTCTCTGGAATGATGCTTGTGGCCATTCCAGTGGGGATGTGTGATCTGCATTTAGACTGCATCGCCAGGATACAGAATGCAGTGGACCATGTAAGTATCAATTTTCCATAGTGGGCAGATCGTGTGTAATTATAGACCATTCCAAGGTTTACGGCCATGAAGAATCTTTGTGACCGGCACTAAAATGCTTATGGGGTTGTTTTGAAATGTTTCCAGCAAGGTGCTTTTGCAGGAAAGGGGAGAGCTCCTGCCTCAAGGCTCCCCAAATTCCACTTCTGTGGGAGCGTGACTTCTTACGGGAATTGTCTGTAGACTAGGCCTCTCTCATGCTCGTATGCCACCCGCAGAACTGCTACTTCAAGAAGGGGCAAGCAAATTTGATGAGTTATAAATCCTGAAGGTGTGATGCTGGGGATGGTGTAGGGAATGCCTCCCCAAATCTATAAGGTTGCATATTGTTCCTGTGGTTCTCTGCTGCTGCACTAAAAAAAGATTTTATTTTTCTATTTTAGTGCTAAAATATCTATTATTTATCACCGTGCATTCTGCAAGGCTATATATAGGTTGAAGTCAGATGGAGCCATCGTTACAGCAGTCAGAACATTCTTAACAACCGACAGAGCAGATTCTTCACTCGCGACTTGAACTTAGTTTTGCCACTTGCCTTATCTGAGTACGTATATGCGTTCAAATGAATGGATTACATCTCCAATAACCAGTGCTGGATTTACATATAAGCTAAACAAGCTATAGTTTAGGGCCCTACTCTCTTGGGCCCCCCTAAAAAAATAAAATAATGAAAAAAACACACCTGGATGTACATTTCCAAAATATAAGATAAAAAATGAATAAAATAAAACCTACATACAGCAACAGTGTTTTGTGTTGTGTAGGCTCCTATGATGTAAGTAATGGGCCCCGCCTGCTAGCCTGCTCCCTAAAATATCACTGGTTTGCTTATCTCTATATTGCTTTAGATACCTATTAGGTCCATAAATTGCCATATAGCATATATTCAACACAAAAAACAGTGACAATTTGTTGTTGACAAAGGATAGCTGGACATATAAAGGGCCCCATTACCTTCAGTAGCTTAGGGCCTCATCAAACCTAAATCCATTCCTGCCAATAACCAAGGCTGATTATAGGGAGCATACAACTCCCTTGTTACAGCAGCTCCAATAGCTACTAGTCTGCTTCTGAGGACAAATCAAAGTGCTGGTTATCACCTAAAAAGCCCTACACCAGGCAGGAGTTTGCCTATGCCTACCCTACACAGCTTAGGTCCAAGCTATCTGAAATAGGTGTGCCAGGTTCTGTACAACATTGCAGGGGCCTGTCGCAGCTCCTGCCAACCTAGCAGTTGGAAAACATGTCAAACACAGAACCTAGGACTTGCTGATCAGAAGGTCAGCGGTTCGAATCCCCGTGATGGGGTGAGCTCCCGTTGCTCTGTCCTTGCTCCTGCCAACCTAGCAGTTCGAAAGCACGTCAAAGTACAAGTAGATAAATAAGGAAGGTAAATGGCATTTCCATGCACTGCTCTGGTTCACCAGAAGTGGCTTAGTCATGCTGGCCACATGACCCAGAAGCTGTCTGCAGACAAATGCCAGCTCCCTCGGCCAGTAAAGCGAGATGAGCACTGCAACCCCAGAGTTGTCTGCAACTGGACTTAATGGTCAGGGGTCCCTTTACCTTTACCTTTAACATTGGGAAGACCACAGATTAGCCCCTTGTTTTTACTGTCTTCTTTTTCTAAGGCAGCTTCTGGAGCATCCCATAATACTGTTAAGTCAGAGGTTTTACAGCCTGTGCGCCACATGCCAGTGTTGTCTGGAGTCAGAGGTAAACGTGAGAAGAGCAATTAATGTGAATGTTATCTTTGTGCATTACGGTAGCTTCTACACAACCTCACACAATGATCTCTAACCTCCACCCACACAAGCAAGAGGCATTATCAGAGTCCAAGGAGATATTCCCACCAGACGAAAGGTCTTAAGGTCAGCCTGGATAGCTCAGTTGGTTAGACTGTGGTGCTGATAGCACCAAGGTTGCTGGTTCGATCCCTGTATGGGACAGCTGCATAGTCCTGCATTGCAGGGGGTTGCGCTCAGTGCATCCCAGATGGGTCTCTGGCTGTTTTTGGACTGCAACTCCCATCATCCCTAGCCAGCTGGACCAGTGTTCAGGGATGAAGGGAATTGTAGTCGGGGGGCGGGGCGGCTGGAGACCCAAGTGTGGAAACACTGGACTAATCTGCAGGGTCCCTTCCAACTCTACAATTCTATTCTATGAAGATGCAAAGCAGTGAAAGGTGTGGGCTGTGGGGCATTCCAGGGGCCAGCTAGGGAGACCTGGAGGGTCATATGTGATCTATAGGCCTGAGGATTCCCACACTTGCCATATGTTTTCAAAGAACCCCCACAATATAAGTTTACCCCACCTACTTCAAATTTATCAGTACCAGTATTGTCAGGAATGAAGGTCAGATGAAGTTATGGGAGGAATACTTGGACACCCACATATCTGCACTTTGGAATATGGAGCCAAACAAATGGTATATTATTTCTTTTTTAAAAAGAGAGAGAGAGGCATAATTAATAAAATGGTGGCATCCTTCATGGCTGCCTCACGAAAAACCTCCTCAGTGAACTTGCTTCACGGAAAGAACTTACGGATGAATTACACAGAAATCAAGTGAGGCTCTGTTCCATGGCGCTGCTCTCTAGAGAAACATTTTGTCTTGCTCTGCACTCTCCTGTGTGTCAGTAATAAAGTCAGTGGCAAAAAAGAGAGAGATACTTTTGCAAAAAAGGAAGATGTTCGGGGAGAAAGAAGCCCTTAAAGCAGACATTTAATAATATGGCAATAAAACAAGGGGATAAAACAAGATGTGAAATAATAGGCCCACAATGAATCTTCTTTGGGATTCCCCCCAGACCCGGCTCTCTGATCCTGCTGCAAAAACCATTTCAAATTGGCTTTGGGGGACTTCCAATACTAGGACAGGGAACTCAAGAAAATATGGCAATGGAACCATCCTGGCGAGTTTGTGAAATGTGGCTGTGCAGAAGCATTGGGAAGGAGTCAGCTCAGCGGTAGCAGAGCTGCGCAGATCTCATGATTCATATCATGTCCCAGGTTCAGTCTCTGACAACTCAGGTTAGCAAAGTTCTCCCTGATAGCAAGGGAAGGGAAAGTTGTGTCTGAGGATCATGAAGAACCAGTCATTTGGCCCAGTAGTAGACTGCTTAGTATATTCCACAACAGGAAGATCTTTGGCCCATTAGAGTTTGTCTGATGCCCAACTTGCTAATAAGGTATTGGAATTCTATGGGAACCTCCAAAGTTTAAGGACCTAGAAAGCAGCCTTATAACAAATTGGCCTATTGGTCCATCTAGTACAGTAATATCAAGGCCAGAAGCAGGGAATCTTTTATAGCCCAAGAGTCACATTCCCTTCTGGGCAGCTATTCAAGGCCACAAAAACAATTAAACATTAATAGAAGTGTGTGTGTGTGTGTGTGTGTGTGTGTGTGTGTGTGTGTGTGTGTAGGCATGCAGATACAGATCATTAAAATAAAAACATCATAGTACCAGCCCTTTCCTTAAAAACAGTCAGTTCCCAAAAGTCTGTTAGAACAAAAAAAGTCTTCACCTTGGCAGAAGGACAAGGATATAAAGCAACAGTCAGTTCCAGGCCAGTGATTCTCAGGAGTTCAGTGCCCCACCTGATCCTAAAGCTTTCTCCACAGCGAACTCTCCATGGTCCTGATTTTCAACTGCCTGACCTGCACCAGGCCACGCTTCATCAGAGTATCTCAGTGACAACTTCATGGCAAATCAGATACTTGGAATTTGGGTAAACCCTGAGACACATTGATTACTCAAGTTGTCTGATTCCTAACAAACTATGGAGCATGATGCTGTCTTCATAACAGAGGCCATCATTCTTAGTTCAGAGCAAGTTAAGTTACATGTGGGGCTGAACATTTAGGCTTTCAGGAAGGGCTGCAGCTCTGTGTTAGAGGATCTGCTTTGCATGCAGAAAACCCCAGGTTCAATCTCTGAAATCTCTAAGTAGGGCTGGGAGAGACCCCTGTATCAAATCTCCAAAAGCTGCTACCAGTCAGAGTAGAAAGTATTAGACCAGATAGAGCAATGGTCTGACTCAGTTCAAGGCAGCTGTCTATGTTCCTGTGTTTCATTGCTTCTTCATGTTAGGGATGCTTCTGAAATCATTTCTGTCATTCCATCCCACTCATCACACCTCTCATCCCCACTTCTCATACTTGGATCTGACTTTGATATTAGTGAGGAACCACTTCCAGTAGTGGCCAGAAACATATTGTTTTGTTTTTTTAAAATAGTATTTCTTAATTTTAAAGGGTTACAAAAAGAAAAAAATTTTAAAAAGCATATTAATAAGATACAAAACATCACATCGCAGTAATAAAAAAAAGAAAAAAGAGAAAAAAGAAAAAAGAAAAGAAACAACAACAAAAATACAAAGAATCTTCCCATAATTTATCTTTCATTTGCTTATTTCCTTGACCTCCTCACACCTCCCTTTTTTGTATTCTAGTTCAATTAGCTATTTCAGCAAGTCCTTTCCATCTTTTCCAATTTTTGTCCTCTATTTTATCTTAATATAATGTAACTTTACTTTCCCTCCTTCACCATTTAGCAATCTATTTTTTCTTAATCCTTTATAACATTTCTGCTAAAACCACATTGTTTCATTCCAACATCCTTCTAACATTCCTTAATTTTACAATGTTTCTGTAAATAAACTTTAAATTTCTTCCAATCTTCTTCCACCAACTCTTCTCCCTGGTCTCGGATTCTGCCAGTCATTTCCGCCAGTTCCATGTAGTCCATCACCTTCATCTGCCATTCTTCCCAGGTGGGTAGATCTTGTGTCTTCCAATACTTCGCGATGAATATTCTTGCTGCTGTTGTGGCATACATAAAAAAAGTTCTATCCTTTTTTGGCACCACTTGGCCGACCATGCCCAGGAGAAAGGCCTCTGGTTTCTTCAGAAAGGTATATTTAAATACCTTTTTCATTTCATTATAAATCATCTCCCAGAATGTCTTAATCCTTGGGGACGTCCACCAAAGGTGAAAAAATGTACCTTCAGTCTCTTTGCATTTCCAACATTTATTATCGGGCAAGTGATATATTTTTGCAAGCTTGACTGGTGTCATGTACCACCTGTAGATCATTTTCATTATATTCTCTCTTAGGGCATTACATGCCGTAAACTTCATACCTGTGGTCCATAACTGTTCCCAGTCAGCCATCATAATATTATGTCCTACATCTTGTGCCCATTTAATCATAGTTGATTTCACCGTTTCATCCTGAGTATTCCATTTCAACAGCAAGTTATACATTCTTGACAAATTCTTAGTTTTGGGATCTAACAGTTCTGTTTCCAATTTTGATTTTTCCACCTGGAAACCAATTTTTTTATCCAAATTGTACGCCTCCATTATTTGGTAATAATGGAGCCAATCTTGCACTCTATTTTTTAGTTTTTCAAAACTCTGCAATTTTAATCTGTCTCCCTCTTGATCCAAAATTTCCCAATATTTCGGCCAATTGGCCTCCATATTGAGCTTTTTCTGAGCCTTCGCTTCCATTGGTGTCAGCCACCTTGGGGTTTTATTTTCAAGCAAGTCCTTATATCTTATCCAGACATTAAACAGTGCTTTTCTGACAATATGGTTTTTAAACGCTTTATGTGCTTTAACCTTATCATACCACAAATATGCATGCCACCCAAATATGTTGTTAAAACCTTCTAGGTCCAGTACGTCAGTATTTTCAAGAAGCAGCCATTCTCTCAGCCAGCAAAACGCGGCCGATTCATAATAAAGTTTAAAGTCTGGCAGGGCAAATCCACCTCTTTCTTTAGCATCGGTTAAAATCTTAAATTTTATTCGAGGCTTCTTGCCCTGCCAGACAAATCTAGAAATAGTGGCCAGAAACATATTGCTGGAAGTGCAACAGTAGGGATCATTCAGTTTGTAATGTAAAGGTTAATTCTGATAGTGTTAAAATCAACCAGCCAAGAGAGGGGTGACGGGTAGAGGTGTTGCTTGGCAACCAGACAAAATGGCATGATCTTCAATGAAGTAGTATATGCTCTGATTGGTTGCGTAGTTCCGAGGAAGTTTTCCCTCTGTATGTTTGGCTGAATGCCTCCCTATTATGTATATGCCTGACGTAAGAAAAACAAAACCTCGTGGTTCCTTTCTCCTCCAATTATATACTGTTTTGTTCCATTTCCTCATTTATATACTGTTCCATTTCCTCAGTAAATCATTATCAGGATTTATTTTCTCTCACTGCCCCATCTGCAGTGTTTAAGCAATTTTGCCAACATTTGTATCTATTCTTGAAGAACTGGAGCATAATTTATTAGTAAAGAGCAATCAAGACCTTGCATGCATCTTATATGCACAACATAACCCATAAACTGTTGTGTGTTTACTGTCCTCTGTTTTTCAGCACAGCAAAGGAGCATCCAGGTCAAATGAAAAGAAAAAGTATCCCAACCAGAGTGTCAGAACACAAACCTGTGATTCACAGCCACTAAAAGACTGTACGTGCTATTTATGAGTGGGGTAGAATGTGTACAGGCAGCAACTCCTACCAGTCTCACCATGAAATGTGCTGGTGTGACCAAAGGAAAGAAGAATCCACTTTACTGCTGGTCAAAAAATGCCTGAACTAACTGCTGTTCCATTTGTACCGATCTTCTCAGTACTGATCTTCTCAGCATCTGTGTCTCAATTTATGCCGGCTATCTTATTTAAAAATAAATCTTTGTGAAGAAAGGGACGGGGGGAGAGACAAGAAGAAGAATAAAACCCACACATTGCAATATGCTCACCCAAGTCAAACTGCTATCCTGGCCCTGATTTCATCTGAAAGGAACATGTTGTCCCTGCAGGACAATTTTTAACCCTTGTGAAAATTATTTCCAGCTGGCGAAAACAGCAAGAAGACGGAGAGAAGCTCTCGGGTCACCATGTGATGGTGTTTTGTGTGTTTGTGTGTGTTAATGCAGTGTCTCATTTTAACCCATCTCAGCATGGGGGCGGGGGAAGCAATCTTGGCGTGTCAAATTGTCGTCATCGTGGGGAACATGATCCTAGGAAAAGACGAGTAAATCGGGAATGTGCTCAGAAAAAGCTGCATCATTTCTGAGTGACGTACAGATGCTCTAGCGGGCTTTGAGAAGCACACACTCTCTGTTGCATTTGATGTGTATTGATGTGTGGGTGTGTATTTGCAATAAACCTGCTTGTTACAGAAGACTCATGGGCTTGATGTTGGTGGTGATCCCCATATGAATGTAGTCATTGGAGACAAAGGGTATATCGGGGATGAGGAATCGCCATCCCAGGGGCCAAATGTAGCACTCTGGTCCTCTCTTAGGCCTGCTGTTCCAATGCCAGAACCAAGAAGGAAACACTGATTAAATCAACTTGGCTCCCAGATCCAGATCAGGTCAGCCACAGATTGTCCTAGATTGGATGAAGCACTGAATCAGGCCCCAGACTGGACTGGGGAAAACAGCTCAGGTTACAACTGCCTGGAACTGACATTCATTCCCTCCTGTCATCAGCAACTCTTCTGACACTGACTGGGAACTTTTGAATGGGAGTCAAGCTTGATGGCAGCTGCTCACCATGTTTGTTGTTGTTGTTTAGTCATTTAGTCGTGTCCGACTCTTCGTGACCCCATGGACCAGAGCATGCCAGGCACTTCTGTCTTCCACTGCCTCCCGCAGTTTGGTCAGACTCATGTTTGTAGCTTTGAGAACACTGTCCAACCATCTCGTTCTCTGTCGTCCCCTTCTCCTTGTGCCCTCCATCTTTCCCAACATCAGGGTCTTTTCCAGGGAGTCTTCTCATGAGGTGGCCAAAGTATTGGAGCCTCAGCTTCAGAATCTATCCTTCCAGTGAGCACTCAGGGCTGATTTCCTTAAGAATGGATACATTTGATCTTCTTGCAGTCCGTGGGACTCTCAAGAGTCTCACCATGTTTAATTACCCCCAAATGCACTGACCCTGTTTATAGTTCTACAAAAGATATAATCCCAGTCCTACTAGAGCAGTGTTTCCCAAACTTGGGTCTCCAGCTGTTTGGGGACTACAGTTCCCATCATCCCTGACCATTGGTCCTGCTAGCTAGGGATGATGGGAGCTGTAGTCAAAAAACAGTCGGAGACCCGAGTGTGGGAAACCTGTACTTGAGCTACAAATTTCATAGATCTATAGGCCAGGCCAATGTACTCATGGTAATTAAACATGGAGGGCAGTCACTGGCAATGGGAGCTAGCTTGGCTCCCATTCAAAAGCTACATTGCCACCCATTCAGTGCTGCAATGCCTCTGGAGGTATGCCAGGGAGGGGGTGAGTGGTAGCATCAGAGGAGGGCTGGTAAAGGCCTTTATCGGCTTCTGGAACCCTTGGCCAGTGCTTGACCTGGCCCATTGGTGGCACTGGGTCAATTAATTTTCTAGCTGTCCCAGACCAAAGCCCATTTTGCACCCCTTATAGCACACCTGGGCTGTAACTACCATCAACATGAATATGGAAGTTCACGCAGGCTCAGGAGTTCCATCAGCATCTCAGAGATCCTGAACCGCAAAAACAAAATTACAAGATTGGGGTGTTTGTATCTAAATGATCTGTCCTCCTCAGTTTAATTACAGTTTTATCGGTGCATCTGCTGTGATCCCTCCATTCTCTGTCAAAGGTGTGAGCAGCCTGTGATTAGATGTGAGCAAGATACTGATTACTAGTTAATTAGCTAGGCTAATAAACTGCCATTTAGAAGGGAGGGAGGGTGGATGGGGAGGAAATGCTGGATTCTTCCCAAGGAAAGTTGTTTTAAAACATGGAGACATGGGACTTGGGTTTATCTTCAAATCTGCACAAAAATCTGCATGGGAAAGCATTTCTCCTCATCTCTTAAACACACAAATACACACACACACACACACACACACACACACACACTTGGGGGCTTACATAGCAGACTTTGGTAACTGGGGGGAGGGTGTCAAATGTTCATTTTAGTTTCAGCTGAGCTGATGCAGTCTTGCCAAACTTTGGATATCCAATGAACACATTTAATTATTATTCATAGGAGTACAATGAAAAGTAGGGATGAAGGAGAAATCTTATTCAGTTCACATTTAAATGTAAACCTAATTGATGCCTTTCAAAACAGTATCCTTCAAAATTTTGCAGAGCTGGACACTAGCTGAATAATATGTACAAAAAATGCATATACTTATATAAAGTGTACATGAAAATACAATACACGGCTGAAAATAATATTTAAAAATGTACTAAAATAGGAGAAATGTATGCGGAAATGTATATATTAGAGGAAATGTCATTCACTGATGTCCTGGCTGATCTACAGTTCCCAGAGTGGTTAAGAATCAATCCTTCTTCACAAGATACTCTGGGAATTGTAGCTGTGGATGTGGAATGGGGTCTCCTAACAACTCTCAGCACATTTAACAAACTCCAACTCCCAGTGTTCTTTCAGGAAAGCCTTGGCTGTTAAAGTGGTATCATAGTACTTTAAATAGATGGTGTTGCAAGCCTTTTGGGTCCTTTCTTCTTTCATCTGAGCTGATTTCCTCTCACCCTGCTGCTTTTTTTTCCATGCTTCCTTCTTCTCCATTGTGTTTTGGTCTCCTGTCAAACAGCATTATCTTTAACCTCAGGGCAGGGAAACAAAATCAAGGCACTGGGTAATGCATGACAAAATCTAACTTGCATTGTATCAGACTGAAAGCGTGCAACAATGAACACATTCGCTGTCAGCAGCGTTATTGAAGGGGTGTCAAGCAAAGCCCATTTTCGCTCTTGTATCCGTTGGAATGAGTCAAGTAGACGTGTGAGGCTCTAGTATAAAAATACACCTTCCCCTTCTGCCACACTTCTGCCTTGTACCTTAATATTGTAGTGACATTTAAATTCCCCCACCACCACCACCTAATAGTCCCCGATATGCACGGATATGGAAATCTGCAACTTGCTGAACACTGGGCAGGCTTTTTCTGTCACAGTATGCTCTGCCCATCTGCTATCAAGTTCAGCAAACCCTGCTGTGGGGTGCGGGGAGATCCCACCAAATCAAAACAAATGCCTTAGAAATAAGGCAACTGCAGTGTAATCCTAAAGCTCACCAGAGGCTGGATAAGGAGTCACTAGCAATGGTGCCTCTGGACACTGCCTGATTGGTGCTGACCCATCAGAATATGTAGCCAATATCTGTACTGTACATTTAAAGCACAATGATACTACTTTATTCTTTGCAATATTTTTTTATTAATGTTTTCAGTATTGCAATACAATATAAAAAAGGAAAGCAGATGCAAAAGAAACAAATAAATAGTGAGCAGAGGATCAAGTATATATATCCGAGGTAATTTACTCATCTGGGAGAAATAGATCTATCATTGACCAGGAATGAGAGGATAGAAAAGGCAAAGAAGGGAGTCAGAAAGTCCATCTTCAGTCTTTCACCTCTTCGCTGTGCGAGATGGTGCTCAGATCGAAGTGGGAGGCCCTCTGGAGGGATTGTTTTCCGTTTTCCATGAATGGGAAAGCAGGGACATGACCGCAACCGTAGAAATGGGAGGTGAGAGTCACACATTCAATGCCGCGATCCAGCTGGCTGTAATGTTCAGAAGGAGAGCATCGTTGCTTCCAACAGCAGCCTTTATATTTTCAAAGAAAACATTTAATTCCATCTCTTGTAAAATTATATTTTAAAAAAATGGTAGGGGAAGATTGTGGGGTCGAGAAACATATGATTTACCCCAACCCCTTTCAAATCCTTATAATAGGGCACTTATCGGCAATGGTCCTCCCTCCACATTCATTCTCAAAGCTATTACTGAGCACAACACATACAGTTAAAGGATTGCTAGCACTTTAGATTATTATATGGAGTTTGCTTGTTTGTGTTAAAGAAAAGAATCTATTTCCCCCCTTTTATTTTTCACTAAATCCATTTGGTTTTTTCATAAAATTATATCCAGCCCAAAAAAGAATATTAGTTTCCCCTGAAGAGGATGCATCACCAACAAAGTGCCCTTTGAATGCCCTTGGTTCCCTGTTCGGTTAGAGTGAATAGGACATTAAATGGAACACAATTCTACAATGGCTGTTAATTTTTCTCTTGCACACTGAAAAAAATGGAACAAAGTGGCGTGGCTACCTAGAACAACACCTTATGGAATAGATGGGATATTGGCCTAGTTTTTTTTCAGCTTGATAGAGGTTTGGCAGATCAGTATTCTTCAACAGAATCATAAGGAAATAATTTGTGGGTTGTGCAGGGCCCTTGCATCCTATTAGGCAGGGTTAGACAGCTGCCGCAGAAAGCAGATCCTGGGACACAGGAGGAGCAACATTGGTAGGACTGCCTGCCATCCTCCTGAGCCTTCTGGTGGTTCCCCTCTGTTAAGAGGATAGATCTGTGTGTGTCATGCAGCATGCTCTGACTAGCCTAAACTAGCCTGACACCCTCAATTGCAGGGGAGAGGAATCGCTGCAGTTCAGTGACAGTGCCTGCTTTGCATGCAGAATTCCGTGCATCTCCAGATAGTGTTGGGGAAGCCCTGTTGGGGGTCACTGGAGACCCTTTGCCAGGTGGTGCTGAGCCAGGGGTCAGCAAACTTTTTCAGCAGAGGGCTGGTCTACTGTCCCTCAGACCTTGTGGGGGGCTGGACTATTTTTTGGGGGGGGGATGAACGAATTCCAATGCCTCACGAATAACTGAGAGATGCATTTTAAATAAAAGCACACATTCTACTCATGTAAAAACATGCTCATTCCCGGACCGTCCACGGGCCGGATTTAGAAGGTGATTGGGCCAGATCCAGCCCCCGGGCCTTAGTTTGCCTGCCCATGAGCTAGATGGACCATTGGTCTGACTTTGTATGGCAGTTTCCTACATTCCTATGAGGCCGTCATCTTATCAAAATGAAGATTCAACTTCCAGTCTAGTATGTGGAAAGATAGGGCATGCTATCTTTGTAGGGAGGCAGTCAACCAAAATGTCTTGGGTTGACCTCAAGATTCCAACAAAGGCTTGCAAATATTAACAACATTGCCTCATTTACTGTGCCTCTTTCATCTGCCACAGAGAACTAGAACTGCCAGGGACCTCAGTGACACTGTGGCTTGCTTAACCAACAAGCTGTTCCTGAGGTTCAGCTGTCCATATATCCTTGGTTTCTTCTCAGCTC